AGTCTTATCTTCCTGTGCATCCAGCGACATGGTCAATGTATGCTCTAGAGTCTCTGGAGTTTCCTGCTCCATTTCTTGCTTCGCACCAAAGTACTGGACATGATCCTGCCACAACTCGTGGAACTCCAATTTGCGACGCTGACGATCATCGCGCGACATCAGCTGACGTTCAGCCTGTTGCTGCTGCTCGGGAGTATTGGCAAATTGTTGAGTTATCTCGAGTGTAATGCGACGCTCGGTTAACGGTTGCTGCTCGTTCACATCGTCTGCGGCTTGCTCCTGCCAGTTGCCAAAGTTCCAGACTTCGGTAAGATCAGTCCTAGTCTTATCATTGGTATCGATATCCTTTTTCTTGTCTGAATGAAGTGGAGGCGCACTAGATGCGCTGGCAGCAGGACTTGTGGGCGTTGTTATATCGCTGTTGATAGTTTGAAGCCCCGGCACATAGTTCACATTAGTCGATTCCTCCGAGAAGTTGAGGTTCTCCAGTTGCTTGAGAAATTGGCTGTTCAATAGAATGGAGCTCGTTTGAGTGCTGACATGACAGGGCAATCTAGCCATTGGCTGTCGTATATACCGCTGATCCTCGTATTCTTCCTCGTCGTCCATTTCGGTTAGCGTGGTCAGTTGGCGTGGTGAGGCCGGAAAGCTGCCCGGATAACTGAGCCCATCATCCGGCTCCTCGCCGCTGCTGCTGGCAGCACTGCGACGCTGCAGTCCCGGCTTGAGGCGCAGCAACTTCTCGAAACAGAAGTGGCACAACTGCTCGTACCGGGGCGTGGCAAAGATCTCCTCATAGCTAATCACACGCTGTATTGGTCGATAGCGAATCCAATCGGCTCTAGCCGGCAGATGTTTGTGCTCGGTGCGCGGTGCCTGACGGGGCGAATTGAATCCAAAATGGGATAAAGTGCGATATGGAGGCGGTATACCATTGGCCAGCTGCAACGGACGACGTGGAGTAGGCGATGATTCGTTAGTGGTGGCTGTACTGGAAGTGGGACTGGAGCGATTGTTACGATAGTAGCCCACATTCTGTAAGTGATCCGAGTGCAAAGCGTGCAAGAGCACGGAACAAATTTGGGGCTGACAACAACGACCCAAAGACGTAGCCCCATAGACATATGAATAAAGATCTCCCTGCTGCAACATGGCAATTGGTGCTGCTTGAGAGTCTGGGCTTGGTGCTAAGTCAACATCATTTTGGTCCTGAATAGGACAAGGATTAGTAAAAGCTGAAAGCAAATCACGACGACATTTGGTAGCATTCTGAATATGATTCTCCTTGTCCAACTCATCATTGACTATGTCATCATTGTTCTTGTTGTTCCCCTGGACATCGACAGTATCAGTAACAGTTTCTTGATCTTGCAAATCTTGTAATCATGAAAAAGTCAAAATTGGTGCATCAGTATGTTTTGCATAACTCAGCCAATGACTAGGTTGCAAGACTTACTCAATTATGCGCACCTCAAGCCTAAGGCCAGCAGCTCGAGGCTGCGGCTCTTACGACTTGCAACTCGCTGATAATACCTATATATATATATGATTATATACATAATAACACATTATAGACTATCCCTAGTTCTAAGAAATAGGTGTGAACCCTAAAACCAAATGGGTATGCTATATGTACATATATTGTATCAAATATATGACTTTTGATATCTATATGGATTATAAATGGAGGTTATTTTGATATTGTGGACGAGCATAAGAAGTCCAAGTCTACAGTCTAGGTTAGGTGGGTGCATATTTATATTAAATAAGTGTTTCGGGGCTAGTTATTAACATCAATAACAATGGAATGGGATTAATCATTAGATCATTAGAGAATATGTACAAATGCTGTCCAAGAACTTGAGTACAATTGAGTACAATAGATATATGTATATATTTTGGGGTTAGGGCATATATACGTTGGATCTCAGGAACTGAGATAATGTATACAACTTGTTCGTTACCTCGGCCAGTTGGTGGCTTGCGATTTGTTGCTGTATGGGAGCGTTCGCCGTTTATAAAACTAAGTGTTGCTAAAATAGTATTCAGAATTAAACGTAAAGTCAAACATAATTCAGAGCATCAAAATAAGCCTTAAAAAAATTCATTGCATTAAGTGATAGATCAAAAGACATAACTTAGAGAATAGATGTAAATATATTGTGAGTTGTGTATTAAAATAATCACTACTAATCATGCACTGTTCTGTGGGTGTGTGTATGTGTGTGTGTGGAATTGTAGCATAAGCTTTAACATTTAAGCAATCGATAGAAATAGCAAGAAATAAATAACAGCTGCAGTTCTTCTAAAGAAAAATAAATGAAAATGTGCAAAAAATTTCTAGAGTTGTGAAATCTAGCTTAAAAAGATCAGCCGTTCATTATTTAGGCGTTAAAAATATCGTTAATTTTAGATGTTTATATCGATAGTCGGAATCTTTCACAACTGATTCATAGCAAATGAGTAAAGAATA